ATAGAGTTCACAATTTCCATACCAGGACTGGCCGGGACACTGTGTCCAGTTCCCAGGCCCCCGCACCCCAGTGTTGTCCCATCCCCTTTGGTCAGCAACCACACCTCAGCTGGAGTGCCATTCAGTGACCCCTAGGACCCAGCATGGGGAGGGTGACAGAAACCAATCCAGAGTAACACAAAGGGAGCCTTCACTCTCTCTCGGTCCCCCCACCCGCTGCCAACCGGGGAAGACAAGGCACTTGGGGCTCCATGGTGAGAAGACCCAGAAGAGATCAGCAGGTGCACACTTGATACAATGAGCTTTACATTTCCAGAGCTAGCTCGTTCCAGTCAAAACAACACCCAACCCAAAGGCAAGTGGTGACCCGCTGAGAAATAAATCCAGACAGGAGCAATCAAAGAGGAGGCAGACAATCTCGGACATGCAGGGCTGTGACAGCGTAGTGAGAGGGCCCCTGCTCCCATCCACATCATAATATCCAGAAAAGTGCAGCCTCCATGGGTGGGGTCAGACCACTCAGTGCACTGGTTCCCCCACAGATTCACTCCAGCAGGCAAACAGGGACTGAGGGACTCACCTCCACTACCCGGCACAACCCTCTTTTCCTCATCTATGATTCCGTACCAACCAGCTTTTAAAAGAGAAGGAAAAACTAATTCAACTAGGAAGGTTCAAGTGACAGATGGCTGTTTTTTGGTTTTTGTTTGTTTTTGTCTTTTTAATAACGCTGGTTACTCGACTAGATAATTCAGACGTTTTTAGCGGTCTTTTAAAAAAAAAATTTGTCTATATATACATTGTTTTATCCTTCTATTTTCCACAGGGTTTCTTTGTTTTCTCTTACTTGTGACTCTCATATGGAAGGTCAGAATTTCTAAAGGTGGGCACCTCACACAATAGACCCAATCTTGGGCACTGCCATCCTCAGAGCCCAAGACAGCCTTCTGGGGCTTCTGTGAAAATGTGAGAAAAGTAACAAACAGCAGCAAGTGTCTAGGATGAGAAGGGTTTCACCTGGATTCTGCAAACCCAGTTTACTTGTAGAGCTTTGGCCTTCCCATTGGAAAAGCAATTGGACAGAAAAAAGCACTTCAGAGGGGGCCTGTGAGTCAGGTGAAGTGCAGGGTGCTGGTCATGTGTTCTGTGTGGCACTCGTGCACAGATTGTGTGTGGCTGGATCAAAATCTCCACGCCCAGATTTTTCTCTGGATATTACAGAGGTCTTTTCACACCTACTAACACACACACACACCCCCTCTGAATTCTCCATGGCTTCACAAGCCCCTGCAAACCACCACCCCTTTACAATCCTGGGAAATGGTACCCCACCTCTCATGTCCCCTCATCTCACTGGTGTCACTGTGAGGGAGAAGCCTCAGGTGGCAAGTGACCATCACTAAGTGACATTGACCCACACAAAGCCCTGACACCTTATCCTTACCCCTGAAGCACATGATCTGTTGTGCAAGTTTGGGGATGTGAATTCCCTGTCCCAGGAGAATGTGACTTCATATCTAACCCACATCCAGACCAGCTTCTCCTCACTGGTAAATGCACTCTGCAACCAGAGCTGCTGTTATTAAAATTCATATCCTCTATTAGGATATAAAATGTGCTGATGATATTAGCATCCAAGAAAAACAACAGAGAGAAAAGTAGTCACTTGAAGAGAGCAGAGCTAGAAAAACCCTCCACAGGTTGTTAAATCGTGCCCTTTGTGTGCAGGTGTAATCAGAAAAACCGAACAAGCGCATGCCATTTCTTTGGCCTGGGCTGTCCCTCCCTCCAGCCCATGACCTTCTCTTCAACTCTCAAGACTCATCACTGGGTTCCTCTGCTCCAGGAAACTCATCCGGTCTGGGTTAGGTTCCTTCCTACATGTGTGCACAGCCTCTGTAGCTCTTTTAGATGAGCATATACCACACTCTATTGAAATGTCCAAGTCCACTCAATGCAGAGACTGCTCTTTTTTCCCCAGTGTCCGCATGCTGCCATGGTGCCCAGCACACGTGCTCATTGAACACTTATTAAGTAAAAGATTGAATCATCACCTAGTGTGGTCGACCACCCTCAGCACCTTACTTTTCTCTTGCTCTCCTCTTCCTTTATTCTTTCTTTATATATGAACTAAGGTTCTCAATCTTGGCTGCACATAAGAATCACCTGGGGAGCTTTCAAAAAATACCTTTACCTGGTCTGATCCCCCAAAATTTCAGTTCAGTTGATCTGCTGTGGGCCCTGGCATAGGTGTTCAGAAAGGGATTCATTGTGAAGCCTGAGTAGAAAACTGCCACGGAACTCTCTTCTGCCCTTCTCATCTCTCTTTTAAGTACTTCCTACCCTCAAAATCCTTTTTCTTTTTTAACTTATTTTCATGTTCAGGGACCCGCACAGACAATACTTATCCCTCTGTGTAAACTGCCTGTGAAAAATAAAGGGTGCAGATTGAGGGGCTCCACTCCCCGGTGGATTCACTGGGCTTCCTTTCACATTTCTCTTGAATTTGATGAAGCAGCAGCAACAACACTTAAGATTCATCAGGTTCACTCAGAGTTGGGGCCGTAGAGAAAGCTGTCTTACCCAGAAGAATGAGCAAAACTCCAGCCAGCTGGGCCCGCCTGTACTTGGCAACGCCGGGCTCCTGGCCCATTCGGATGCAGGGGAGAACCGTCAGCAGCAGGAAAATGGCCGGCAGACCCAGAACCGAGGCGGCAATCATCAGGGCTCGGCAAGCCTGCACGTAGCCTGGGAGCGAGAGAGCAGATGGGGTGGGTTAGACCATGGGTCCTCTCGGTTCCTGAGCCCCACCTCACGGGAATTAAGCAGCACCTCCATATTCCTCCCTCCTGGCCCATTCCAAGACCTAAAATGTGCTAAATGCTGTCCAAGATCTTTACGTACTTTCAACTTTCCAAGCAACTCAGAGACAGAAAAGGGGCCTGGAGAGACTGATCCCTGGGGACCACCCAGCCAAGTTTCCAGGATGGAGGGGCCAAGAGTCCATTTGCATTATTACATCGCTTTGTGAAAGATTCAGATGAAAACACAAATCTTCCAAGAAGTCGTCTCTGATGGTTTGTGTTGGCTCCAGTCTTCTGTTTTGGGGACCACCCAGCCAAGTTTCCAGGATGGAGGGGCCAAGAGTCCATTTGCATTATTACATTGCTTTGTGAAAGATTCAGATGAAAACACAAATCTTCCAAGAAGTCGTCTCTGATGGTTTGTGTTGGCTCCAGTCTTCTGTTGATATGCTGTACCCATGTGACCTTGGACAAGTGACTTAACTGCTATGTCTTATTTTCCTCATCTATAGAGTAAAAATAATAGTGGTACCTACATATCTAAGAGTATTCTACTGAAGATTAAATTAGTTAATTCATGCAGTGCTTAGAAACACACCTATGCTAAGCACTCAGAAAAGATTAGCTAGTATTATTGGTGTCATTTCTCTGTGTCAGAGCAGTACTTATATCTCCAGATGTATGAGGTCATTTTGTCCTTAACCATGTTCTTTTAATTCACATTGAGTAAGAATAGTGTGTGGCCCTAAATTAGACTAAGCTAAGACCCAGACTTCTTCTCTTTCTTACCTGCCCAGAGGTGTCTGTCCTCATGAATCCTGCCCACTATAGATGGTCAGGCTCCATC